AATTCGTTCATTTTAAATCAAGTTATCTTTTTTTTTAAACCAAATGTCTCATAATCTCCAACTAATGATTTACAAATAATAGACTCTTAATAAGGGTGTGTGTGGGTGTGTGTTCATGGGTGAGATTTTTAATTTGACTGTAAGAGTTCAGATGAAACTACATGTGAGAAAACATCAAAGTTATCTTGAAGCCAGAGATTTTCATAAGAAAAACGGAACCTGATTTTCCTGGAGCCGGATATGATGTGACAATGCCCCAAATGGAAGGTACCCTGTCTTCTGGAAGACCAGTCTTGTKGGAAGATGTTAATGTTGGGCTGATCTTCTACTGATCATGAATTTTAAAAGTACATCACTTTTTAATGCCCCAGATAGCTGCCCTAGGCCTGGTATAGGTTTTGAGACCTTTAAACATGTCTTGTGCTTCAAAAATCTTTYACTCATTCATTCTTCTTTATTGTCTGTTCAGTATGGTCCAGATGCTGCTGTAGGTTGCTGGAGTCTTGTGGTCAACAAGACAAACGATGTCCCTCCTCTGGTATTCCATATCATCTTGAAGGTTTATTCAGAATGAACATATGTTTGTTTTATTTCTAGGTATTGAGGGAGAAGGTAACATAATATATATATAAAGATTATAGAAGGAAATAATAGGATGGTGTGATAGGAACTGGGTGGGGTAGGGGTAAGAGTTGTGACTAGGTTTACTTTAGGGATATGGTGGTCAACTGCTTTGTCAACTAAATATTGTGAGTTGAAAAGCCCCCTGAATTTAGAGCCCAGAAGAYATAGCTCTGTCTGCCTACCTCTGCCATTGTGACCTTTTGTAGGACAGTCTGTATCTCTGGACCTTAGTCGCTCATTTGTAAAAGGAGGATATTGATCATTGCCTTATCGTGTTGTGAAAAGTGAATGAGATGWTGCCTATTTCTATTTACTGGAAAGAACTCTAGATAGATGATGTTACTCCATTTCTCAAGTCACTGCTTGGATTTCATGCAGACCCCTCTGCTGGGACCTAAGAGCAGAGACCTGGGCCGTGAGAGCATATGAACCGCTGGCTTTCTTTGGAGATCTTGGGTTTCTGCTGCTCAGGAGGTGGCTACTTGCCTGGTGGCAGGGGAACAGAATTCCATGTGGGAGCAACCCTAGCTCAGCAGGCTTTGGGGCTAGAGGGATTTTGAAGGTGGGAGAAGGGTTGCAACCAATTCTTCACTTAGTGTCCGTATTCTGTCCTGAGTCCTTAAAAAATTCATAGTAGGGTTTTGTTTTTGTTTTTGTTTTGTACTGGGGATTGATMTTGATCCCAGGGGCACTTTAGTACTGAGCTACATCCTCAGTCCAGGATTCATAATAGTTTTAATAAAAATCCTTTTGCCCTAGTGGATCTTTACCTTCTCCCATATCTAAACAAGTATTGCTGCTAAGAGCTATGAATTTGCACTTAATCTTGGCAAACTGAATAGTARAACAAGGTATGTACTAACATTTACACTATTTAGAATTTATAAACAAAATTAAGCTTTTTATATCAACTCATGGAACTCTTTTGGGTCTTGATTATTTTTTATTTCTTTGAAAAGACAATAGCAGTGTGATTTTCATTTGTGGCCTTAAAAGGTAGGCAAGTGCTGCCATCTAGTTTTATGTGTTAGATTCTCCTTTTTGTTGATATTTGGAAGGAAGTTTCTGGAGAAACTTTTTGAAACACTAAATAGTGGTTGGAGTACAGGAAGAAACTTTTTTTTTTTTTTCAGCTTTTTGGGAGGTGATTTAACATTATTTTAATTTTAATCTTATTTTAATTATGCAACATGTGTAATACCTTTAACCTTTTTTTTTCTTATTCCCCAGACTGTTCTAGAACATAGGAAAGGCCATGTTAATACAGAAGGTAGTATAGCGCACTCAATTATAGGGTTGTCCTTGAGTTCTTTGGCCAGGGACATGTGCAGACAATTCTGAACCCTGTCAGTTGTTAAGTGTTTAAAGAGTACTTTTAGTTGTGGGTTGAGGGCAGAAAGTGAAGTCTTAGGACTGAACTACATTTTGGTGAGGAGGAAGCTTTAGGACAAGCTCCAGATGTGCAGTGCTTTATTACAGTGCTCCACTGTGGCCTTAAGCTGTGGGGGTAGTTTTTCTCTCCCTTCACATATGGCTTCTTTTTCTTACTTACCACACCTGGTAAATTTTCATTAAAAAAAAAAAAAAGAGCTTGAAAATACTCTAATAAGAATGGCTATTATAAAAAAAAAACAAAAAATGCAAGGTGTGGTGGCGAAATCCTGTAATTTCATGATTCAAGAGGCTGAGGTAGGAAGATTGCAAGTTTGAGGCCAGCCTCAGCAACTTAGAGAGGCCCTAAGCAACTTAGCAAGATCCTGTTTTTTTTTTTTTTTTTTTTTTAAATGGCTGGGGATGTAGCTCAGTGGGAAAGCACCCCTGGGTTAGTTAAATCCCCAGTACCAAACAACAACAACAAAACAAGTAAACAAGTGTTGGTGAGGATGTAAAGAAAACAGAGCCCTTGCACATGTTGATGAGAATGTAAATTAGGTCAGTCATTATGGAAAACAGAATGGAGGCCCCTGAAAAATTTAAAAATAGAACTGACATATAATGAAGCAATCTCACTACTGGGTATATGTTCCAAATGAAATGAAATCAGGATTTGAAGAGACTCCTCTACTGTTATTTTTACTGCAACACTATTCAAAATAACCAAAATATGGAATCAACCTAAGTGTCCATCAACTGATGAATGGATAAAGAAAATGTGGCACATACACACAATGGAATGCTATTCATCCATCARAATGAGTGGAATCTGTCATTTTCAACAACGAGAATTGAACTAGAGATGATTATATTAAATGAAATAACCAGGCCAAGTGCAGTGCCACATGCCTCTAATCCCAGCGGCTTGGGAGGCTGAGGCAGGAGGATCATGAGTTCAAAGCCAGCCTCAGCAATAGCAAGGTGCTAAGCAACTCAGTGAGACCCTGTCTCCAAATAAAATACAAAATAGGACTGGGGATGTGGCTCGGTGGTTGAGTGCCCCTGAGTTTGATCCCCAGTTCCTGCCCCAACGCCCCCCAAAAGAAATAAGCCAGGCACAAAAGGACAGAGACCACATGATCTCATATGTGGAATATAAAAACAAGTTGATCTCATAGAAGTTTCGAGTAGAAGCCAGAGACTGGGGAGAGAAGGAGGAGGGAGGAATGGGGAAAGTTTATCAATGGGTACTGGGTTATAGTGAGATAGGAGCTAAACATGCTATGGCACAGTAGGATGACTATTGATAATGAAAATGTRTTCTATATTTCAAAAAGATAGAAGGAAGGACTTTGAATGTTTCACCATAAAGAAATGATAAATATTTGAAGAGATAGATATGTTTAACCTGATGTAAACATTATGCAAGATATACATGTATCAGAACATCACAAAGTATCCCATTAATGTGCATAAATTCTGGGTTTGTAAGTATCGGTTAAAAAATTAATTTAAGTAGTAGGTAGAGCACTTGCCTAGAGGCCCTGGGTTCAATCTTCATCACTGCAAATTAAAAAAAAAATATATATATATATTTTCAAATCCTACCACCCAGAAATAACCATCATAAACATTAAATGAAAATTGTATCAGACACAAGCATGTGCATGCGCRCCTCCCCCCACTTCCCCCCCTTCAGGACTTAGATAACATTCATTGCCATCTTCTGGCTTTGAGTGCTGCTATGGGGACATATGAAGCCATCTAGTTTTTCTACCTGGGACCTGAAGAAGTCTGATTGAAGTTCAGTGGCCTCCGAAGGACATTAAGCTTCTTATATCAAATGTCCTGTTCTGCAGTACACCCTTTAAACATGCAGACCCCCTTTCTCCCCTAATCCAGGGAAACTGTCTCATGTTTTATTATTGGAAACTTCTATTCCTTTGCTGGGGTTTTCACTTCAGGCACACCCCTGTTCTTTATAGGGCATTGTCTTCACCTGATCTTTGTATCTGTGAGTTTCCTTATAACTGACATAATTCTTGTTGAAAACAGTTTAGCAGTTTCTTAGAGAGTTAAAAACATATAGCTGCCCTATGACCCAGAAATTCCATCCCTAGGCATTTATCCCAGAGAAATGAAAGTTTWTGTGGAYACAAAAGCGTGTTCATGACTCCTCATAACAGCTTTGTTCATAGCCAAGTATTGGAAATAACCAACATGTCTTTCGGCAGGTGAATGATAAACTATGGTATATACACACCATGGAATTCTACTTAGTGACACAAAGAAGCAAACTATCAATGCACACAACTTGGAAGCCTCTTCAGGGAATTATTCTGAGTGAAGAAAAGCTAATTCCCCCAAAGCATATGGTATTCTATCCTGTTCTTGAAAAAACAAAAATCACAGAGATGGAGGATAGATTAGTGTTTGTGAAGCATCAGGGGTAGGATATGAGGGATTTGCGTCTTATAAAGGACAACATGAGGCATCTTGTGGTATTCATACTGTTTATATATCAATATCAATATCCTGATTGTGACATTGCACTATAGTTTTGAGATAATTGTAGATTTACAGATCCCAAATAACCTTTAAYGGGAAACAGGGTAAAGGTTATTTGGGGTCTGTAAATCTACAATTATCTCAAGATAAAAAATTTAACTGAAAAACAAAACACATCTTTAGAACATTATTTGACCCCTGTAGACTAACCTTCTGGTTGGACTCCATTTATTTGGAGCATTTGGCACAGTTTTGTAATTATTGGGTGATTATTGGTTGAATAGTCTCTTCTGTCTCTTTCACTAGACTGCAAGCTCTATGCCACTGTATCTCCAGGGTTAAAACAATGCTGAATAAATATCTGTTGGATGAATGAGTTATTACCTCTCAGAATTATTGAAGGGTTTGAAATTGCTTTGCATTTTTCAAATCCTTTAAATCCATGCCTCCTCTACTTTCTGTTTTGAAAAATGAAGACTTTATCCTCTTCCCAGGACACCCTTCAGTCTTTGAACCTCCTGACTGAGCCTTCCTTGAACATCTGCTGCTTCCCCAGATCCTCCAAGTTGGACGGCTGCCAAGAATGCCTGCCCTCTTGGCCTCCTCAGGCTGAGCTTACCATTATTCTGTGTTGGAATTTTAGAAAGATAGTGTGATGCTATTATTATTCAATGAATAACATCTCAATTGGTTTAATGAGAATGACATTTCTAGGCCTGTTCATAACAATCTATTCAAATATTTTGATTTATTAACTAAAAGCAATTCAAGTGCCTTCAACTAACTTCCTAAATTACAAGTTATCTTCAGGAAATGTATTGGGGGAAATCTCTGTGACAGGTAAGGCGCTGTAACAAAATGGCTTACTTTTTCCCTCACATTTTTTTATTGGTGTATTAAAGTTATGTGTGATGGTGGAATTCTGTTGTCATGTATTCGTACATGCACACACTATAACAATGTCATTTGGCCAGTATCGCTCCCCAGCACTTCCCCCGCCCTCCCCTTTTCCCACCCCTAGTCCCTTTCCTCTACTGATCCCTTTGATTTTCATGAGGTCCGCCCCCACCTTTCTTTTCCTTTTTCCTCTCTAGCTTCCATAAAAGAGAAAACCTACAGCCCTTGACCTTGTGAGTTTGGTTTATTTTGCTTAAAAATGGTCTCAAGTTCCCTCCACAGAGTGGCTTATTATAACAGGAAAAATAAGTTTGAAAATTACGTTCCAATCCCAAGCAGCATTTGCCTGAGAAAGAAGGGTCAGTTTGGGAAGCCCCAGGTTCCCTAGTTGGTGGCATTACTACTGGTGCCCTTGAACCAGTATAGTTGTGAAGGTGTCAGCAAGACTTTTTTTTCCTTTTTT